TGCCATGTGGTGACACCATTTTTCGAAAACGTCTATTATTTAGGTTAAGGTATGCAAATTTGAGTCTCCTTTTTTGAAAATAAGTTTGTCGTCACTTCAAACTGAGTCAGAACCTGCAAAAATAACAAAATAAAGTTGATTGCCCTGCAAATTCTTCAAAAAAGAGTGACGTTAAACACACAGACAAGAAGCAAGAAAGAAAGTCGAGGAAAATAGTAACAGTTATTGTAGAATTCATCAAAATATCTCAGTTAAAACGTGAGCATGCTCCAGTTAGTACTGCCTAAAGTCACAACTTTGTTGACATCGGCCATTTGACTACAGGCCGCACACACTGTTAGATTGAATTTGATTGAGAATAACTAATGTCAGGGTTTAATCCGAATGCTTGTAAGCAAACAGGCGGCAATACATAAATGCACAAGTCAAGTTTTCATCCACCGAACACAAAGCTATGCTTTTATTAAAAGTTGTTCAAAAGGCATCTTAATCGACGGCCGAAAGTTGATATTTGCTGAAACTGAGCCGATATTGTCCAATTTTGTAAAACTGCTTTTTTCGCCCTTTACCCGTGTGCACAGGAAGTACTTGGCGGCATTCATGGATAAAATACAAGAAGCTTAAAAGTTGTGCTAATTTAGTGCACTAAATTTAAGAAGTTATTGCCACTCTCGATTTATTAACGGTCGGCCTGCTTACCTGCCAAGGTTAATTTATTTGGCTAGCTATTGGCGAACCAAGTGAGGAATGCTTTGATGATACGCCTACAAATCATCCATTTATACACTTTGAAATCTGACTATTTTTGACTCAGCCAAACGCGAATATGGCCACTTTTATGACTACAATCCCAGTAAATTCTCCTGAAATGTATTACTTTTGTGTGGAGACAGATGTAAGAACAAAAGATTTAATTTAACTGAGTGGATCCGCAACCTATATTTGTTGCAAATAAAAATTAACTGCACAGTCTTTAACCAATCTCATCGTTATTTTTGCAAAAGATATTATTAAACATAAGGTAAATAAGAGTCCTAGAAATGTAGGAAGGTTGGTAGAAAACAGAGCTTGAAAAATGGTGCTGTGTGCAAACCAATCTGGAACCGGAGGATTTAAGTATCCTCTCCTGCAATTGAATGAATATGATTGCCTTTCATATATATGATCATCATTGAAATATGAATAGCTATTAGAATTTCAGACCTGCCGGGTATATTTTGGCCCCACCCTCGCCATGATATACAAGGATTCATATTTAATTTGGGAACATATGACCATAGGGAGCAGTTCATAAGAGGCAGAAATGAAACAATTTTGAATTAACGAGAGGGCGTAATTTCATAAAATCAAGACAAATAAAGACTGGCTGAGAGCAGTCCAGGATGTCTCCTGATATGCCGTAAAGATGTAGAAGTGATGCCTTGTTCCTATTCGCGCAAAGTAAAATCAATCATATTTCCGACAATCATTAGAGGAGGCGGTATACATCAAAAGGAGTAAAGGAGAGAGCACCCTACAAACAACGAACAAAAGGCTGCCGCCCTACCTAAGCGCCCCCGCTGCCCTGATTTAAGAATCCCGCCAGAACAAAATGTGTGCACTGGTGCTACCACAACTTTTCCCATCTGACAAATTCTACACTAAGTGACATTAAATATTCTGTTTTAACACCTGAAGTAGCACGAACACGTATTGACAATGTTTCTGTTAAGCGCTTTTCTAAGCTATCGTTCCTCTGTTGCGAGTAAATTTTGCCACTTCACGGCTGCCTTCGCTATAATTTATCAAGAGATAGTGCTTACTTTACTTTAAATCTTCTGAAAATTTAACTAGCTTAAGCTTTGCAGTGATAAGTGGAACTTAAAACGATCAAGATGCTGGTAAGGCGGCGGAGAGGTGATCAACTTATTCATCGTTTAAGAAAACGTGTCACCTTTTTTTAAATTGACTCTTGCAGTTCTGAATGAAAGTAGTAAGCTTTGAATTGGTTCAAACACCAGCTATTCAAAGCGCTTGAAGGCGGTAAACTGAAAGGCCTTTAGAACCCATTTAACACACTTTTAAACGTCAGTCTTTAAACTTATCACAGTTTTGTGCCTAAATAATTATCATAAGAAATGCGCAACAATACCGCCTTTTTTGTGCAAAATCAGAAGTTTGCTAATCTGTCATATTTGATTTTTGGTAGAATTCTGGATAGAGCCAAAACATAGTTGAGAGTTCCACTTGTCTCTCTTTTGTGCTAGCTGCATAATTTACTTACCATGGATAAAATATTTAAGATACAAATATTTTGATATAATGTACGGCTCAATGTCAATGTGGTGATGTTTTGAATGGGAAAAGTTGACTCTCATTCACCAAGTGACGTTCGTAATTACGAACTTTTTAAATAAAAATGCTAGACAACGTGTCTGCATGATTGTGCGAATAAAGTATGTTTCAGTGACGAGTGGCGGTGGCGGTCGGGGAGCACTAAAATAAACAGGCGTTGTTACACAGCACCTGTAGTCGGCGTGACGATCATGATCAGGATCACGTGCGGGCGCTCTATGATACTGCGATTTAATGGCCGCGTGCATGCGCACAGAACAAGATGGAAGGGTGTGGTGGTGAGGAGGCAGAGCGCTGGTGGGAACCGCCATCCTCCTTGAGGCAACACGATCCTAATAGTTCTAGAGAGGAGCTTGGAGTCTGGGGAGGGAGTGATAGTGGGAGCACACGTGTCTAGTGTTGGTTAATGACTGGGGAGTGGGTTGTGTAAAGCAGCCGTTTAAAGCGAATTCGTGATTAAATGTCCCCACCAGAACTTTGTGGTTTTAACATGGAAATACCTTTGGTTGCTGTTCATGAGTCGCCTTCGACTTATGGCTCAAATTCGATCAACATCATTTCAGTGGCAACCAATTTTGACCGAATCAGTAAAAATTTGCCTACAAGGTGGAATTTGCCAGCAAGCTTACAGCATTCATACAGTTTCTCTTATTTAAACTCGAAAGCTTTGTGACGCCTATGGTTAATGATTGTCGTATTTTCGTAGACCAAAGATTATATACCCCCGTTTTCCCCCTATTGGAAATTTGCTAAAATACAGTACAGGCCTAATTATTCTAAAATGTTATTTTTGAAATCTCAAATTAGGACTTCCGCAGAAACGAAATTTTTTAAGCAAGACAATTAAAACACTTGTCCGCTCAGCAAAATCACATGCCAGTATAATGCTTCAATCATTTGCATAACTCTCAGTTTTGATAAGGAGCCTCTTAGTGCTTTGCCATTGCAACATTTCTGGTCGGCATGGCCTCCGGGCCATGCCAGTAGACCACAAGACCTTCTGTTCGTCTATCCGTGCAGTATGTCTTCTTTTGTCCTCAGAGAAGTCTTGGGGCACTACAACTTGCACTAAAGTTAAGAGGTTTAAAATTTTGGAATTCTACTGAATTTAAGGCAAGCAGGGTAAGAACTATTTGTCAAGTAAGGTTCTAGATTCGCAACATATCAACCATTCTTTAAAGTATAACGAAGATTGGTAAATGGAAATAAACCTTTCCAAGATAAAATCTTTTTTAAAATCATCATGATGTAATGCTTATAATGTCTGTAGCAAATACACATTAGCAATTTAGGCATTGCGTAATTGTATAAGCACTGAAATATCCCGAGAGTCCTTTTTTCTACAGACACATACAAGCTGATAGTTCCGTCTAACAGAATCAATTTCCACTGATAAACAATAATTCCATGATTAGCGTAAAACATATAATTTTGCAAAGATTCATGTCAGAAAACATCCTAAATACGATAAAGAATGACTAACCAGTTAAAATTGAAGTTTAAATTTGCTCTGGGGTTGGTCGCGTTAGCATTGTCTTTCTTGTTACCGGTAAACCATCGAGTAAAGTGGAAAACTAATCCATCCTACTTCGAGCAGTTCATAATAGAGAAAATTTGGCTCGCTGCCACCACTAGATACATAGTAAAACCACCGCAACAACGCTGTGTTGTACCTAGGTCGATGGCATGGATGAAATGCGCAACGTATCAGCATTGTAGAAAATTCAAATTCTACTTCGTAGGACTTAAAGCTTATTGTAGAGGGTCGAGACACCCTCATCGCAAAGTCCACCAGTGGTTCATGAGCTCATCAGTTGTGGAATTCAACATATTTCTTAATTACCTGCTACATTTTTCATTCCAATGATCCCAATTCGTACACTACTCCTCATAAGCTATTTATTTGTCCCCAAATGGCTACTTTTACTGAACCTAATTGCTGCAAACTGGGTTGCCATTGGTTAAAGGGTGTCGACGAAAATTATGAATTGGGTTGCCAATAGTTACAACCCGGCGCTTGTATACACGAGGCTCCTAGACCTTATCGAGACCACCAACAAAATAAACCGTAGGCCAAGATTTCAGTGCAGGTGTATTTATTACTGACGTAATTATTAATGCATACGGGACTGGCGGCTAGAGAGCCTAGATTGCCTAAGCTTGAGTCTTCCTCAGAGTCAGTAGCTCCAGGTAGCCGTATTTACAGTACCTGATTGGCGTCGGCCTTCGAATGGCTATCCGTACAGTTGGAGTTTATCTCCGTTAGATAAGAAACAACCAGGAAGGAATAAGTGAGACTCCCTAAAACGCTTGAAGACAAGCTATCAATTAGGATTTCTAGAAAATCGAGTAGGAATGGATTTCTGGAGTTGCAGGCATTTTCGACACTAACACGTCTTTGGCTCACCACTTGAATGATAATGCAATAACCAGCGAGAACATACTCAAACCTTGACTAGCTCATAAGAACCCAGACCAGACCAAATAAACTCGCAGATTAAAGTGACCATAGCAGGATGAATTACAAATTGAGAAACCCAGAGGGATTGAGGGACTAAGGCCGATATTGAATCTAAGGTCACAAGACATAGTCAATAGAGAACAACTATTGGCAGAGTAATTCCAGAAGGCAAACTCAAGAGCCATAATGCACCAACAGACCGCAAGCATAACCAAATTGGATTTACTTGAAACGATTCGTAAACAGTTTAGAAAGTCAGAGTCGGAGACGAATGGGAGAAAGGAGATAACACAAAGCACCAGCGCTCAAGAAGCAAAGGCGAGAAACACTACAGGGACTCGGCAATCGTCTCCATCCTCTTAATGAGTGCAGCCTTCTTGGTAGAGAGATTCGTATCTTCAGTCTGATACTGCGGCTTCGAGATCTTTCCCGATATTACACTTTCAGCCAGTGAGACACCTTTGCTCAGGAGACTGTGGTAATCCTGATCCAATTTTTGCAATTCAACAACCTAAACACACGAGTACATGGTTCAAAGTTCAGGGCTATCAAAGGTGTGATCGTTAATAACGTACACAAAGCAAAACTGAACATCTGTTTCTGCAAAACAAAGATTGTACCAAATCGGCTAATTCTAAGTAGGGGTAAAAGAGGCATTAAGATCGTGACTATCCTCACTTTATCAGCCCCTTCTGTCCAGAATTCACGTAGTTTCGACTGCATCGAGGTTATTTTCTGTGAGATTGCCTTATAATCTGCCTCAACCTTCCGATAATCAGCCTTGAAGCGATCCGAGTCCTTAGACGACTTGTAATTACTGACGGCGTCTTCGTAGGTTTGGTAAATTGCTGAGCGTTTGTTTTGTAAACTGAGGATCTCATCCACAGAGGCCTGAGCTCGTTGTTGTAATTCTGCCATCTTGTCCTGAGCAATCGCGAGAATAATTACTATATAGTGCCAAGTACAGTAAAAAAAATAGTAACACACGAAAATGGAATATTCTTACCTCGGAAATGGAGAAATCTAGACGGACGTAGATGATAATTACAAAGAAAAGAAGGAGGAAGGCAGTAATAAGCATTGCTGGCTCACGCAACATGCTGAGCATCTTAAAATCGTAGTACACCTGGAAATAAACAAGAAGGCTTTGGCACTACATTACTTTCTCAACATCCGTTGAATAAACCTTTCAGAAGTGAGTTAGTCATCCGCTGCTTAACATATCTTGATTTTGCGCATTAAAATGTTAGTACACCAATTTTGTACCTGGTAGTTTTGCTTTTTGGTACACTCGCTACTTGTGAGCGAAATCAAATTTTATCATACAGTGAACTTCAAGAAGTTTCGACTTACAGTAAAGTCTTGAATATGAGCTCCAATGAGATTTTTTTTGTGAATGACAAGGACAGTTCGACCCGTGGTATCCAAAAAGGTCTTCAACACTTCATCAGGGAGCCTCTCAACTTCAAAGGGCACCTCGACTTTGACGTTGGAGACGGTTTCAGGGAGGACAATGCGGAGGGTTATCTCATCAACCAAAAGTTCTTCGTAGAGGAAATCCATGAAACTCATTTTAAGACCGAAACTACTTCCTGAAAAAAAAAAAAACGAAGATTCACACACAACTAGAAATCACGACAAGGAAACAATCAAATCCGCGAACTAGAATGCCTCAAGATAAACACTACGACATGAATAGTCTAGAAATGGGTACGTAGGCGATTACCCTTTCTGTAAAGGTATTCATGAGCAGGAACATTGTAACCAAGAATGAAGAAGGTCTTCCAGCCACCAAATAACGGGAACCGAGGAGCAACTAGCACCTCAACAGAGCTGTACAAAGGCTTCACAATGCTAGTGCTGATGTTTCCAATTTCGTCGCGGTAATAGATATCTCTGGCAGACGCAGGCAAAACTGACTTAATAGTGGCAACAGAGATTTGTTGACCAACACCGCGTTGATAGTCCAAGCGCGAGAACGGACCAGTCAGTCTTGCTCCGTAATTCCTGATGGATACCTTGTTTTCCACGGCAATATTTCCCCAATGTGAAATTTCAATTAATCGTTCTAGATTAGTTACTGCCAAAAAGGGTGAACCATTTTCATAATTGAACCTGGCAATTCGCTAAAACACAAATGAGTGTGGAATTGGATGGTCACCTTGTCAAAGGGTGGAACATTTTCAAAAGGACCATATTTTATCTTGGATGCTGTTTTATGGACTGGCTGAATATCACTGGTGTAGTAGAGCACCTCACCACGACTCAAAACAACAGTCGTTACAACGCGTTTGGTTGGGTATGTCGAGAAATAAGCCACATTGGTTATAAATTCGACGAACTGTTTATCGGCTTGAAGGATTTTAGCGGGTTTCGGTTTGAGTACACCCGTGAAGAAGGAAGAAACCGTAAACTTAAGGCGTTTCCCTATTTTTTCTTTGGGAATTTCGATGCCAAAATTGGTCATACTACGCGACTAATATGAAAAATTCAGCTTACTTTGATACCTCCCCAATATGTTCCACAGATAGCGGCGTCTTAGAATCTATCTAAAAACGCGTAAAGTACGTGGAATAAAGAACATACCTTAGCTTCTATAAAGGATAAATGACCACAGATGTCAGAATTAATCGGATAATGATACAGTCCAAGAGGCCCATCAGGAAGATCGAGTGTTACTTCGACATCATAGCGAATAATATGTGAATCAGCGTAAATAGTCTGCGCTACGTCAGTATTGATAAAGTTGCAATAGCCGGATGCAAATGCAAGTGAAAGGATGAAAAGAGGCGCAATACGCATAATTATCCAAATCTGACAGCACAAACTGTGTGGAAAACCAATAAACGACAAAAGCACCAGGCCGGAGTGCTGTGGCTACAAATAACGAAAGCCACACACTGCTCCCTTAAACCACGTCCCTTAGGTGTATTAATTTAAACAATTCCAAAGTTTGTTCATCTGACTACGAATTTAGAGAGAAAAATTTGCTGCAAATAATTATAAATTTTTAAAAACAACGCGACTTTGCAAAAAACTGCGTACTTTGAATTTTATAAACTAAAGTGCGAGTCTGCTTTATTTCGGAAATAAATGCTTGTGGCTTCCAATCGAACCGTTAACATAAATTTGTAACTCTTGATATCGGGTGCTTTTTTGTGAAAAGCGAATTTTAACTGCAAGTGTGAGCATGAAACATTTGGCACACATTTGACAATTTTTTCATATGTTGGTAGGATAATGCCCATGCCACCATCTAGTATCCAGCAATAGTTAAACAATGGTTCATCCCTTTTGTTCCATAAGCGCCTTTGTCAGTAGACTTCCCCATGGATAACAGGCTCAGTTATAGAACCATCTTGCGGTTTTATCCACTGTAACACATTAAATTAGAGCATCCCCTCACGTTAGTTTACATTCACTGGCTTTATTATGATGACGCATGACGATTCATGTTCATTAAGTATTATTTTGTTAAATAAACACCAGGAGCTTGGAACCCAAGCGCCTGACAAGGAGAAGATCAGTTGAGTGTTAGGACGGAGGCATCTTTTTATGAAGAGATTATTTGAGCAGCTGTTTAATAAGAGAATTATCTCATGGGAATGTTAAATCCAAAAATGATGAGAAAAATATGCCTAATTATTCCTTTTTGTCGAGCAAAACGTCAGTTTCGGTATCGTCAGTAGGGTGGCTGTGACACACCCCATATGCGAAGTAGATTATCGAACCTAAAACGAATAGGATTTGCCAGTTAAACGTGCGGACTAATAATAATTGGTTATTTGTTCCTAGTGGAGCAAACAATAAATAGTTCTTCTACTTAAAGTAGCCCAATGCTGCACGTAAGTCAAATGTTACCTGGCTCAGCACTCATAAAGCTCAAAGTTATAATAACTCGTTCGAAAAAAAGACCGCTATAACCAATACCTACCCAAAGCAACCCAGATGAAAAAACGGGCCCATGTCATCCAAGAGAGTTGTGAAATTAAAACAGCATTGAAGACTACGGTAACACAGGGCAAAAACGGGACCATGGGGAGCTAGAATGAAAATCAAGATTTCAATCACAAATAGCATTCTTAAGATACGACATTATGGCTGTATTTCAGTCTTTAGGTCGCATTAGAAGCATAAATGTTAGAAAGCAACTATACAAATTTAGGTTATACCACACACCCGCCTGTTTTGGTTTCGTTTATCAAAATCGATCTAACTAGAGCAAGGCTTTTCTGACTAAGACCTTTGGTCACCATGTTTAAAATTCTTATTAAGAAGGAAAAAGTTGCCATGTGTGCACTTTGCACAAACTTCTCATTTCCCCTAACAGTGGTGTCGTGTAAAAGCAATTGAAACAATCGCACAATTGGGCTAGACAATTGTGATTCGTCGGTTCTACTGCGGTGCACTAAAGTAATAAGTGTCTCTTGCGTTTGTGCTGTATCCTGAAAACCACATAACCGGTAATTGAAATGCAACTTGACAAATATGCATGAAAAGTATGGGTTAAATATTAAATGGGAAGAACATGTAAACGTAACATTGACTATAAGAGAGAGCTTTTACTGCTTAAAAAAAATAGAGATGCAACTGCATCAAACTTGATTAATTGCTTTAAATCCTCAACTACTTAGGATATTACCCGGTAATAAGGGGAAAATTCAGTTTCTTCTTCATAGGAGAAATAAAACTTGTGAAAATTATCCTCCTTAGCATCCTATGTTGGATGTATTCGATGTTGTTTGCCGAGGTTGCTTAAAAGCACCAGAAAGTTCCCACTTACGCACATGAATTCGTTCTCAAATGAACTGTTCTTTGTCAGGGCAATGATATCCTACTAATATTCATTTCGGTTAAGAGACGTACATTGGGGGCATTTTCAAGCATTGACTTTGTAAATCGTAATAAAATTACTTCGTCACACCTCTTGATTCAAAAGAATGATGAAAAGGACTACGTTTTGCCAAGGTCGAAGAAAAAATTGCATTTCGCTCTAAGTGATTATCCTGCCTGCGCTAAATGCAATCACTACCTTCCTTTACCCATGCAGCAGATAATTTGAAACAGTATTTTACCAGTTTCATCAACTAGAATATAATCACGATGCACTAACATTTCTTTGAGAATATGCAAATTTTTCCTGCTTTTATTAGAAAAACAGGAAAAGATAATGACTAACCTAAAATTCAGACATGAGTTTTCTAGGGCACCTGGGGTTCAGATGAGCATTTGGATTTGCTCTTTATCATATAGTTACAAGAAATTTCGTCATAACACACTGACAATTAACAAAACATGCTTTTAAAATATATGGAGGCGTGCTTAAGTGTCCACTTTGAAGAATTTGGGGAATACTAGGTCAAAAGGAACTTTGCATTGGACGTTGTGAGCAACAAAAGTGCGGATCAAAACCTCAATGGAGAAATTGGCAGATCTACACTAACTGGATTAACTTGGAACACTCAGGAATGCTTGGACCGTATGAAGCTAGGCTACGGTGGAACCAAGCTAAACTAGTCCTTTTTTGACATTTGAAATGTTCTAACTTGCATAAATTCACCATGAATAAGTTGGTTTTGACCTTCCACCATAGTTTTTTATGTTGAACTCTGTAGTACCTTTTATACTCTCGAAGGAAGTGCACAGAACAACTTCTAATTATCTCAGTAGATCACAATTTTGAGGTCAGGATCGAAATGTTTTGGTAAGCCTACCCTAAATAAGTTGGGTCGAGAACCAGGGAACTGTCTGTGCATGGAAAAGACGATACCACAGCAGAGGAGAGAAATAAGCCAGAGGATGGCACCGGCAACGCGCCAGTAGGTCCACCCAGAGGACACTGTGTAAGGCGCAATGAGGACGGTGAAATGGAGGAGGAGGACGAAGAGCACAAAGAAGCCTATGTTGGTCTTGCACACCTCGCCTGGTTCCCGATTCATCGTCATGTGCTTTACCAGCGTGGACGGAAGGAGCTTAGCCCAACCCGCCTTCAGGTAGCCTGGTTTGTCAATATTGGATGCTCCGGGAAAGTCATATTTCATGGAAGAAGTTTGATCCTTTGTCTTTATTCAAAAAAAATAGTAAGTATAAATCGAACAAGGTAAGGAGCAGTCATGTGATATTCAGTGTCTGTGAATCATGTGCCGTTTAGGGTCTCAAATTTGAATAAGTACCTAACAAAGAAACGCATAGGAATTGATCTGTTCCACCTAAACCGAATCCATGTAAAAATATGCTTAAAAAAGTTCTATCGTGACTCCTCATGGGGATTCCAATAATGAAAACTGATGTAAAACCACTATTCGCGATAAGAACTTGTTTACTTTTACTAGAAATATAAAGTACTAGACTACTAAGGTTCTGTTTTGCAAATTCACTTATATATTTCAATTGCATAAATGCACATGTACCATTCGTAGTACCTTTGTTTTTGACAATACGGTAACTCTAATTTGAGAATTATAATTTCGTTAATGGGAGTTTGCTGTCTTGGATCTAGATTTGAGTTGACGAATTCTGTTTCCTATAAATCAAACTCAGAATAAAATCACTGTCCATGTCACTTTCATGGTAATGTAATACGATAGTGGTTTATCCCTCGGTACTGGTGAGGCGTCACTTTTGTACTTCGAATTAGCCCCCTTGTACCTCGCTGGGTGGGCTGGCCTTTTGGGCCATGCCAATAGCCCAGACACCTTCTCTGCTCTAAATATATATTCTGCCCGAGTATTTTGTCTTCTTTGGTCTTCAGGGAGTCCCGGGACGCTACATTAAAAATTCCCTTGAGATCTAATGTGATCCTTCATAACGTTTTAATAAGTTGTACAAGGAAGTTTCTATGAGGTTCCATGTGATTTATTGGCTTTTAAACAAATTAAAAATTGCAGAAAATAACGTCGGTGTTAAGAAAACCACGTACACGTTGAAGCACTCAAATTGAGCGAAGCTACCACTGTCGGTGGCATTTAAACCATCCCCATTAGATTGATGTTAGCCATTTCTTTGATGACATTTAAGCACTCAAAAAATGTCTTTCTGATAAAACCCAACATTAATTTTAGCCCTTTTTCATCAGAATGCTGACAATTGAAAGAATAAATAAAATTAATGAAGTACTAATTCAAGAATCGAAACTGAACTAAAGCATGACGTCTTTTGTGGAAGCATGATTGGCATTTGCTTAGTATAACGGAAGAAAAACAATGCGTAAGTGACTTTAAAAAGTTATGACGTAATTTCGGTTTGTTTTTAAGCCAATCATTGTGGAGTTCCCAGCAAAATGGGTTAAGCAAAATGCGTTAAACTGAGTGAAATTTAAGAGTAATCAAATTTTATAAAGATGTTTAGACAGTGACTTATTCTGAAAGTACATTACACTGGAGTAGAGCTTGTGGTTTAATTTGAACAACAAATCTATCAACCCATTATTATGTTTGGGTTTTATTCACCATCGCTCTAAATGAACTATCAAAATTTTTTAATTCTGATTTAAAATCAAAAGCGAAAAAAACAATGTTCACAGACATAAAAAGACTCACTTAGAGGTAAGACTCCGAATTAAATGCGGGTACAAGTGTTGGTAAGAAACGGTTCCTACGGAAATTTCATCCATCAAGACGTATGTGTTAATGTCACTTTAAAACCAAGGCGTTATTTTACAAACGCGCATTCAGGATGACAAACCTTTGAATGTGCTGAGTAAACTTATGCCATCCACACTGATGTCGCAATAAATTAAGCTGGAAAACTCTTTGGTGTTGCCTTAAGGGAATAGGAGACTCTTACGTATATCAATTATTACACCAAATCGTGCTTCAGTTTTGACATTACTAGCACTTTGCTATGCCTCCTGAATCCTGTTTTATAAGTAGCTTATTAGAACAGTTGTGATCTTAACTAAAGGAAAATACTCTAAAATTTTCACTTTAAATGAAAAATAAGCATGTAGCAAAACACTATAGAAAAATCGCGATTTATACAAGCGAAGAGTGTTAAGTCCAGCCTTGTATTCCGATCAACAAAATCACAGAAATCATTCAGCATGCAGAAACCGATAAATGCCTAATCAACGATGCCTAATTTTACTAGCCAACGCAATAGTAGTACGCATAGTAGAGGCATTTGAAACAATTCAAGGCAGTGCTAAAGATGAAGGGTCCCCAAACTATGCGTGGTTGAAAACTGTGCAAGTGAAAAGAAGATTGTGAATCATTGCGTCAAAATTAATTGCAGGAACTGGTTACATTGTGTCTTACACTACGAGGGTTTGGCAGTTAGTCTATAGTAGGGAGCATATTCCGGACTGGAAAGGCAGTTTTGAGCGGATGCAATTTTCTCGCACGTTGCTATTAGCTTTCATTTCGTTTAACACCAATTAAAAATTCTTACATCACACAAATATCCTACGCGGATCCCAAGTAAAGCAACTTGGAAAGTGGTAGAATAAGACTAATGAACGAAATTTTAGGGTTTTGTAATATACGTAAATTAATTTTTCAAGCAAGCGAAGGAAATATTTTACTGCGTTACAATTCCCTTTTGTCAAACCCATAAATAGTCTGTGCACTGATTAGTGGTGTTTATAAAGTACTAAGCTGCCTTTATAATTTAGGTTTAAGTGAGGGTCTTCCAATATTGAAGAGGACAAAGGCTTAGGTAAACTATAATTATCAAATCAAATCAAATCGAGTAACAGTAATTTTGTTTTTATTTAAAGAACGGCACAATTTAGGTTGGTCCTTCGATTATATGGTTAATAAAATCGCACTGGTAAAATTCGCTGCTTTATTATGCATACTGGTATTTCTCCAAGTACTCAAAGGACTTTAGAAAAAGATAAATTAATGAAACAATACCTAATGAATTACTTATGTGCAGAAGCAGGCAAAAATAGTGAAATACTGCACCGAAAGAATTTTTGAAAAGAAGCATGCACAGCTTTAAAATAAAGCCATGTGAATACGCCCATGCATAAGGTATGAATCTGTTTGATATAATTAATGGAACACAATTGTTTCAACCAATAGAGTCTCTCATACGTTCGCAGCTGATTCATGTAAGTTCAAACGTGAAATCACACAAATTGCTTTCTTGGTTATCACTGAATGAGAGGCAAGATATTAAGCTAGTGAATTTAGGCTGCCTATTTCCATCCATTAAAAAAGCAGGATTTTGTCCAAAATTAACACATAGGGCTCATTTGATTCCTATTTAGACTTAAGGCACCAGATATGCCATTTTGATGTTTCTTGTTAAAATCAAAAAAATGTAAACTTAGTCCACACCACAACCTACTTGAAAATGCATAAGATTTGCCTGATTAAAGTAGGTGCCAAAGGTAAAACTCTATTAAAACATTTGCTTCAACAGTAAAGATACAAGCACTCTATTTTTTCAAGAGAATCAAAAGCAAAACCAGTAGTCCACCGCAATATCAAAAATTACAATTGTATTACTTAACCAAACAACAACTAATTAAGTTTCTCAACATAATTTCGGGAATCATGAGTAAGAGGTTTCGAAAATACAGTTTGGGTCACGTATTTTATGAGTCATGGTTCCCACGTTTGAAAATAAATAAATAAAATAGTAACTACAGTCCTTATTTAAATGAAATGGTCAATGGACAATAACCTGCCCATGCATTTGAGCTTACTTCAATGGTGTCACCATATTTTATTGCAAGTTCTTCCTTCTCTTGATCGATTTTTGCGTTCACCGACGACTCCGGGATCCTGACGGCTGCAATCAGTTTCTCGGGAGCGGGACAGTAACGCAGAATGAGAACACCCAAGGAACACATGGAGTAAGCGATAAGAGTTCCCAGACACATAAAGTCCGCCAGACTGGATATGCTAAAAACCATCGTCAGGAGGGAACTGATCACAGCAACTGGGATGCTTGCAATCAATGGCGTCTTAAAAGAAGAAAAAATACGACAGAAGTTTTATTTTAATTAATTTTACAGGGATCGTTCACAGTTGGCACCATTGAAATATGGTACTGATGATGGTAAACTGTCACATCGGTAACTTTAGATATCATGATTTCCTCTATGCTAAGTAAATGTGCTCTTTCCTATTATGAACCCAGTGTTCTAAACTGAGTGTATAAATAAAGGGCTTTAGGACGAAGTGAATACATTAACTGGATTCTCGTCTTAAATGCATGCAAGCATAAGTTTTACCTTCTGTCAAGGACTAAAAAATTGACTCCAATTCTACTAATCCTTACACTAAGGTTAAATTTTAAAACACAAAAGCGGTAAAAAGATGTTATTAACAAATACTATTTGAATAATCAAAGAACCAAAGGTCTTAGAGGATATGTGCTTCTATGCTAAATTAAAACTACTATTTCAAAAAGTTGGACTTGAGTTTGTATTTCGCTACTATCCATGAATTTTGAATCTACTGTACATTTTTCTAATCTTTACCCATAAAATTGTAAAACTAATGTACAGCAACGGTGTTCATTTCAAGTTGAGACCTTTGCAATAGAGGTGTTTTCATCTGTTGGAGACTGCTATGATTTCCCTATCCAAATAGGAACCGATCCAGTTTAAAAGCGGGTGTTCATTTTCGGATAAACGTATTAAATTGCTGCAAAATGAAGTCAGCCTATTAGAGCTGACTCATTTCCTTCGTTCTTTTGAGAAATGATGTCTATTTTTGTATAAAAGTACGTAAATTATACTTGTATGATTTACAAAGCATTTTTTGCGTAAAGCGACCGACCTCTATCCTCTGCACTTTGTGCTTGAAATGCGCAAGTCAAAAGTACTTTTTGGGTCATATTATTTCTTTTTGAATTTGAATTATACAGCTGCACACAAAACCAATTTATTCTTCACCTTGAACGGTTCCGTGACTTTGGCGAAGCCTGTAAACACCAAACCATCCTGGCCCATAGCGTACAGAATCCTAGGTGCACCAAGAGCACTGGTTAAGAGGTTTGAGAATAAACCAATAAGACAACCGATTCCCACAATGTAGAAGAGCACACTCCTAGCGGTCGTATCACCGGGTCCATTGCGCATCGCCTCCAAAAAGGGGGCTCCAATATCCAGCAAGTACCAGGGAATGTACATAAGTAATGCAAGAGTGGACACACTTAATAGCAGCGTCACAAGTAACACTGAGATTACATTGGCACGTGGAATGCTCTTTCCTGGGTCGTTGGCTTCTTCAGCACACATTGACATCATATCGAAACCAATGAAGGCGTTAAAGCAAGTTGCAGTGCCTGCAACCAGACCAGTTATCCCATAGGGTAGAAATGGAGTAAGATTAACCAGAGGAAGAACTGACGTCCACGACACATTTTTGGGAAGTGGAATGAAGAGTAGATCGGGCTGCGCGTGTACAAGCATGAAGACCGCAGCCAGTGTAAGGACTCCAACATTGATGGCAGTAAAGACGAGATTCAGGCAGGCACTCTTTTCCATACCGAAACAGGTCGTAACTACTACCAAGATAACTAAACCGGCAGCAGCGAAATCCAACTCTTCAGCGAAGAAACCGTTAGGTTTGTCCAATCTAATCATGCCGCTAGCTTTAAAAAAAATGCCATATTATACCTTCCAACACTCTCCGTAGTCCAGTTAGTAATGGCTCCGCCGGTCAGTGCATCAAGAGAACTGCTCCATCCTCTAGCGACAGTTGAAATACTCAAGATATACTCAAGGAAAATCGACCAACCAGCCAAAAATGCGGGTAATTCGCCCAACAATACGTAAACATACGTATAGGTCGACCCCGCCTAGCGAATGCAAGGAAAAATCGACGATAAATGCTTGCAAAGCTTAACCAAATAAGTTTACTTCTTCAGTTACTTTATTTCAAAGTTTTTAAACAAGAGATAAGCTTAAGTTACTTTCGTATTTTACCAACAATATAGTAAAAGTATGTTACATCCATCAGCAGTTCGTAGGGTAGCTGCTATTTAAAGGCAATATTTGTCAAACCTTGCAACCAGTTTTACAATATCCATTTGACTCTTCTTATTTCTGTAAAATAAGGTGTGAGTTGTAAGCATTCATTGGGCATTTTAAAAGGTGTGAAAGCAAATATGCATTTTACTCCATTCTATTAGTTAGGGAGGAAGTCAGTCCCTTCTAGTTGTTTGGTTAAGATGAACAGAAGCCATTGCGATTCACCATTTTTTTCAAGTGCCACATTTATGACGTGACAAAACCCAAAGAAAAACATTAGAAATAGTGGTGCTGGTATCATCTTCTGCCAGGACTAATTAGCAGTTGCAGTAGATTTAAGAAAAGCCTTTTGAAGTGCTTCTGCGTTAGGAGAAAAATATAAACGGACAACTAATTCACCTTCCCATATTATTTACGCATGAGGTCATTAAACCTGATGAAAAAAATAAGGAGTTAAAAAGAATTATCTGGATTAATGCCTTGTGAAACACGCTTTTAAGTTGTTTGCTAAATCAGTAAAAATGAGGTACCCAAAATCCAATAGAATACACCTTAATGCAAAAAATCTGTTTTTAGAATGGGTGCCGACCCAGACTTTGAATAAAAATCGATGGCCAAGAGAGGTACAAGGTCAGGACAGAAATGAGAAACTTCGGTGTTAATTGCAACACAACTCATTTTTAAGCTGTGAGCAGTGTTTCGGTTAATTTATTTTTCGTGCTAATCAAAGATATGCTCAGAAACTTATCAGGTAGCACCATTATTGATGTGGCAAAATCACCTGCAGTTACGCAAATGAGCGTCTATTAAGCCTAACACTTCCAACCAGAGGCTCATAAATCGCGTGAGAAATAAGTACCCACTATTCATAATGCACAGATTTATCCTCAAAACCACTTCCTCAGTTGAAACAATGTTGTTCCACAACTAACACAACACAGACATGGTACTGCACCATGAATTCTTGAGTAAAAAGGGAACAATTACTCAAATAAACTACACTATAGATGGATCCGGATGCAAATAATCAAACATATCTTACGACAAATGAAGAACCAAAGTTTTAATAATGTTTTGAAAGGGTAAACTCTTCTTGAATCTTTCAAATTCATGATTAAGTTAAATATTGAAACTGACCTTGGGAAAACGACATGATAGCTCCGCATAAGTAGTGGCGTTTAGAATGGCTATAAAACCCGCCAAAATGTAAGAAACAAATGTCGCTGGACCTGACTTGTTCCGTGCTATCGTTCCAGTGAGCACAAAAATGGTTCCCCCCACCATTGCAGCTGAAATTTTAAGAAGGAATTTTATTTTGTTACTATCATATTCCTCTCTTGTATGGGGTATTAAACGTAGTAACGCTATATAAAGCGTTTTTTGGTACGCTGAGCTATCGCTGGTCCTGGTTTTCGCATTTAATCACTACGATGAGAAATCAGTTACGAGGAAATTTATTGCATCAAAACCTCCAATAAAGTATCCATATGTTTGTATACTTGTGATCTACGCATTTTGAACAATTTTGAAGCCTGCCGTTCTAGTTGAATTAATGGATTTTCAGACGTGAAAGGCTGCATGGTCCTGAGGCCTGAACTGCCAAATGAGTACAATAAAAATTGTCACAAATCCGCCCTTAATGAATATCAGCTTTTATATTCATAGATATTATGAAAGCAAACAATGTTTATAGTCAAGGCACCTTTTGAAAGGTTCCAGTATAGATAACCATTATTACAGAATCAGAATCATACCTTTGTGACCCCTCAATGTTCTTTAAGTGTGATTTCGTGCTCGCGTATGTAGGGTAACCAAATGATATCTTACCAAAGATTATTTAATTAAAAACACAAAGTCATTGAGAAAATAAATAGTTTATTTATTATTCCATTCCCCTATAGGCCTAAACAAATGATACAATGTGGTATTTTGTGTTCCTGAGTACTGCTGAATTTTCAGCTGCATTGAAGGTCACAATTATGCTATTTTCCTTTAAAATAACGAGTCACTGTATTAAGTGATGAAACATGCTGGTCTAATATATCCACAGCTAAAGTAAGGAGTGGCGAGCAACAAAGGCGCGAGGATAGAAACACATTCAGATGGCGGAATTGGAATGAATGCGTTAGCACGCATTCATTCTAGTAATAATAAACAAAGAGACATTCCACTTTTTAAGTCAGGGTAAACAGAACTGCCGCCGAACCAATTGCCACTCGTGTTGGTATAAAAACAGAGCTAAGGTTCAAAGGCCATGACTTTTGTTTAAAATCGAGTAACCACTTAATCAATTTCTGTTAAAATAAGTCTATGCATGTGTTCGGCTGAGAATGGATAAGGAACGAGAAGCAATAACAATTCATGGAGTGATCTATTTCGTAAAATACTCGAAGAAAGGTTGAGCCGATTTTGTTTGAAAATTTCTTGCATACCGATTCCGTAGCCAATAAGATCCATGGTTCGAAGACATCGATTCAACTGTGTTCTGAGGAGATGATCTAAATCGATGCTGATGGGCTTCTTTTGGAAGGCTTTTAGACTTAATTCATTGCAGTAATCATTACAACAGGTTGATGGAAAGCATTTCTTTTCCTTTGTCGTGGAAGTTACCTGCGGTCCGTTCGTATCTGTCATGGAGGTGGCTCATCTATAAAAGGAGACACTTAGTAAAATATCATTTTCTTTGCAAGTACTTCATTGGTGCAGCACCGCACCAATAAGAAACCAGTGCTTCTTCTGCACGAGAATGTGAAATAAGGCATGTTCTGCAAGGTCAATCTTATTGATTGCTTCTCAGGTGAAAGACATGGGCTTAAAGCACATAGGGTAGTTCTCCATAGCTCAAATGACAACAATGAGAATAAGGTCGTCTTTTTTACTCAATGTTATGGTTTGTTAATTTAGTGAAAAATTTATGCATTAGCAAGCATTTATTGAGCTAAGAGATATTAAAAAGCCGTGAAAAGCCGTTCAATGCACACAAATGAAATTCTAAATATCGCAGATGCATGAGCTACATTACCATGCGATGGTTAAAGTCTGTGAATATATTCTCGAAACCAATTTTCATTATCTTTCAGTACTCAAAGGTATCTGAACAAATCATGTGATAAAAGTGTTATATTCCTTCACCAAATATCGGTAAGCATAAGATTCTAAAGGACTCTACATCCAGTATTCCAAATGAATCTTTGTAAACTTCGTTCTAATAGAAACTTCTCATGGTTTAAAACACATCTGAAATTAAACCAACTCAGCTTTGTCTCATGTTTTGGTTCTCAGGAGTCAGTACACTACTTATTTGTGACAACTGCTTGTTGCACTTTGTGGCTCAGTAATGAGGCATTTCACAGATGACACCACATAATTTGTTGGTGATTCACACGTTCAGAGTGCAAGTGCCAATGATGCATCATAACAAAACTTACTGGATTAATAAACTCCCCAAATTCGGAGTTTTTTGCACACCAGAATTTGGATTTTTAAAAGAACACGATTCTGTCCAAAAAAGTGCGAATATTTAATAGCTGAATCGGTAGCTTAGTTGCATCCAGTTAATAGCGCAAAATTTAGTTTAATTGGGTGGTGTTTTTGCAATTCAATTGTAGATAATGAAACTGTAGTAAATCCATCATACGTCTAGGATAATTTATTGCCAATCTAAACTTCAAAGCTAGTGTTTATCTATGTAAAGGCTCAAATAGTTTGTCGTGCCCAAAACTCGGTTGATATGACCAAACGGCAGAAACGAACGGGCATTGCGTCCATTCCCCTTTTATTTCCATCCGTCTTTCTTTCCTAGTTTTCCCTGCTCTCATTTAGCCGAATGTCTTTCTGTGGTGGAATATCACCTTTAAACCCTAAATCTACCCTAGTTAGTACATTATATGGAAACTGAATAAGTTAAGAGAGTCGCTTAAAAAGCTATGCCTTCTTCCTGTTTAAGCCCAAAATCATTCATTCATAAGAAAGTAAGTGGTCCTTTTACCTATTGCTTTAAGGAAATATGGACTGGAGACCACGTTGGGCACTCGTTTTAAGTCCGATAGACAAAGTTATGACACCCGGCTTCTTAAACAAGACTGAGCTCATCATAACAACAACAAAGTTGTAACATTTGATTAAGGACATCCCAAATCGCCAATATCTTCATACTGTCAGGATTGTTAATACGTTGCTGCTGTTACTAATAATGCATTAGTAGAGTAAAAATTAGTGCACAAATGGTTTAGCAAATTAGATACTTTATTATAAGAACACTACTTTTCATCAATGACAATTAAATTTAAATGGGTTGAGTAATTAATTGAGGATCTTATAAACTACGAAATTGTTCACATATTCTATAATTCAAATTTGATAATCCCTTTTAATTTATTCCTAAATAATGTTATCTCTCTCTACGTCAAAACCTAGATGCCAGCAAAAGCGCCATACCGTAGTTTGGTTCGCTAAGAGTGAGGCAAAATATTCCTATAAGCATTTTCGCTAAAAGACAAGAAATTTAAACAAATGGGTAACATTCAAGAGTACAAGCCATTACTGTTTGCTGAAGCCACTAGTCTGTAGTTGTTTACTTCGTCCTCTTGAAACCGGTATTTGAAGCTGATGAAGCAAAGGTTCCGAATGACTTAGTTCGGAAGTTCCACATAACACTGCCGATTGCAATCCAGGTTCAATTCTCTGGATTCCGTACATGCGTATTTTAGCTAAATATACAATGCCGCAAGGTTTCGGAAGTAAATAGCATGATGTGAAAGTGACTTAAAACACGTATAATTGCATATCGCTATTTAACTAACAAACCACCAATCGTAAGCATAATCAATGGCCTCTCGACCAGTTACTTGGAAGTGATTTTATTTATCCTTGTGCGTTTACACGTGTATACGATTGGAGACTGTATACAGAGGACTCTTTGTTGATACAAACACTCTGGATTAGGCAGCTAATGGCACCCTTACTTACTTTGGGAGAGTGATGCACTTCGCTAACCCGCAATTAAGATTTGTCTACATTAGACGTCATAAATCATTCAATTTCTGCTTTTAATAATGCTATCAAGCATGCAAGCATTTCTGAGTAGTCAACCATCCTTTTCTCATGCTAAACTTTATAATACTAGTGTAAGAAGAGAGCATTCTAGGTCATTCAAATCTTAAACAATCGACAAAATTAATCGCATTACTTTCAAATTGAAAAGAATGTGCATAATAAGCTCCAGATACGACAAACTTTATTATTAACAAACTGGATTGTCAGTCATCTGGGAGCCTTCAAAGTTGAATATATTGCAATCGTATTACAAACATATTATTTCTAAATTATTTTTACAAGAGTAGGCTGTCACTGATGCAATCATTTTACTTAACGACCTCTTGTGTATTGATTTTTAGTTACCGTAGGAAGCTTTATGAGATGAATGGCTCGCTTTTTAAGATGTCTTTTACCGTATTTGAGATATGACAAGTGCAGTTCTTTTCAAAAACGCCTACTATATTTAGCTATTCACATCAAAAAAAAGTTGATTGAAATTCAATTTACCTTAGCATTGAAAACGAGTTATTCAACTTTAACACTACGTAGCTTAAACAAGTAAAGCTGTTTTAAATTTGACAAAATTTATGAACCAGGCAGGAGAGTGACTGATAACCTGCCACCTCGCAAACATATAAAAATTCCAAAGCGTATCAAAGTAGGAAATCGTTTTGTTACCTGCATGTTTTTGATGTACCAATGCTTTAGTTTGCAAGCCTATTATTAGATATTCTTTTGTTGCGTCAAACTGGCCGAATATTTATGTTTCAAAGCGCATCACCAGGTGATAACGTCAACAATACCTTTCTGTTTATATCAGCAGCTATGCCTATCCTTCAGAGAACTTTAAATCGGCACGTTACAAAAATATCTTTGCCAAAAGGACATCAGTATTTATGGCCTAACATTCCTGAGACCCGAGGTTGCTCCAAAATTTGCCTTCTTCAATACTCCCTCTGATAGGCACCAGTCCGCCTAATTTGCAAGTTAGACTGAAGAGACTGAAACAAACTTTATTATCAAGAAGAAGAATGCAAAACAAGAGCAGTATCTTTAATTCACTACTTTGCCTATGTAATTTGTTCTAAATACTTCATTTATTAAAGCCCACAACCTTCGATGAAACAACATTTTACTAATCCTGCTGCTTGTTATTAATTGGTGATATTGCCACTTTTAACCAAAGTAGAGGTTTTGAGATAAGCTAAATGCTTTTTAAAGCGAATTAGACAGTAAATAAAGGAAGTGTCAACTTATTTTAGTGATCGTGTGGTATTTAACATATTAATTTTATATCGATCTGTGCAATTACTCATATTACTGGTAATACTGACACCAAGCTCAACCTCT